CCACCTCCACATATCGACCTCCATCCTTCACCCGTTCAGCATCCTGACTTTCAGCCTGTAGCAGTTGACTTTGCACCTTCGCCTCCACCTCCACCTATCGTTTTCCAGCCTCCACCAGCTCACCATTCCAACCTCCAGCGTCCAACATTCGACTTTGCACCTCCGCGTCCACCTCCACCTATCGACTTCCATCAGAGCGTGAATTACCTACCCCGCTTTCGCTTCCAGGCGAAACCAAGCCATACCACGCGCCTCCTCGTCTAGCGGCCTGACCAGTACAGGCTGCAATTTGGCATCGTTTGGTATCTCTTGGAAGCGAGGGTGGTCAAAAGCGAGGGAGGTTTGTTTTCCCCCTATTCCAGCCCTACCAAGCTCGACACTCCGACCTCCAGCATCCAGCATTCGACTTTCCAGTTCACCTCCACCTATCGACCTCCAGCCTGCACCAATTCAGCACTCCGACCTCCAGCGTCCAGCATCCGACTTCCACCTACCGACATCGTGACTCCACCAGCTCAGCATCCCCGCATCCGAAATCTGACCTCCCTTTGCTTTTATTTTTTCCTCGGCTCGCGAGAAGAGTGGGGACACAGGCAAGTCTTAAGCTCCCCTCTGCTGTGCACGCTGTGCTCAAAAGAGACCCCCCGAGACTAAGGGTTACGGACACACTGGTTACACGCCAGCGCGACGCTTGCTTCTCAAACAGATCTGGAAGAGAACTGGGTTACGACGAATTCTGGGTATCATGGCCCTCGGCCAACTGAGGCTGGCGTGGCGACACGTTCTGGGTATTTGCTGGCCCTAGACTCACGGGAAGCCAGTTTTGCGACAAATTCGTGGTATTTTCCATACCGCCGAAAGTAGCCATTGGGTCGGGCCAAGCTTCCAGTTGCACTCCATCCTATTGACCCGCAGCCTCCACCAGCCCAACACTCCGATCTCCAGCATCTGGCATCTGAGTTACACCTCTGCATCCACGTATTGACCTCGAACCTCCACCAGCTCAGCATTGCGACCTGCAGCACCTGGCATCTGAGCTCCCACTTCCACCTCACCTATCGACCTCCAGCCGCCACCAGTTCGAAATTCTGACCTCCAACCACCGACTTCTAAATTCTATCTCCGCCACTCAGCTTCTGGAGGATATCGACCAAACCATCGAATCCAACCAGTGGCTTGAGGCCTCCAAGTTCTATCTCGGTGAAGAAGTTGGGTGAGGCGTTTCTTGGCAGCATGTCGGTGAGCTCACTCGGCATCTTATCAAAGAAGGCGACGCTGACTTGGCGGCCATGGTCAGGACTGTCGCTTGTTCGGGAATGTGGCCTGAAGAGCAGAAGTTTGCGTGCGCGCTCGTGCCGGATGCTGTTGGCCAACGCTGTGATAGGGACGCCGAGACACCCATGCATCGTCTATGGCAGTGCCCTTGCAACTGTCACAATGTTAACGTCCGCATCCAGCTGAGTGAGCACCTCAGGCACGAGGCAGTCTCTGAATTTGACACCTGTCTTGTTTTCTGGGGGAGAGGGCTCATTCCCTTGAATTGGTTTGCGCTTCCACCTGCGCCTGAGGAGTGCCACCTGGAATTTCAGGAGTGCGAGCCCTCTGTCCGCTTCACAGGGGGCATTCACGGGACTGACGCCACTGGGGGGGCCTGGTCTAAGCATCCCGTGTTGCGCCGAGTGGCCTTCGCTTTTGCCCGCCTTGAGACTGCTGGGAACCAGTTTTTCTGGAGCCACGGAGTTTCTGGCATAGTTGGAGGTAAACGTCAAACGGTTCCCAGGGCCGAGCTGACAGCCCTAATTGAAGTTCTTAGGCATGTTAGGGTTGATGAAGCTCTCACGCTTGTCTGTCTGTGATCACATTACCCATGTCAACGCCTATGGCAAAGGGCGGCATCACACTTATCGTCTTGCCAATGCTGACCTTTGGTGGGAGTTCTGGCACTTGCACTCGCTCCGTACGGCTGACACGACCCTTGTGCATTGCCGCTCTCATTTTGATGACCCCGCCAAGTTTGAGCGTTATTGGAGGACCGCGGTCGCGGAGCATGATGTTTTCATCAATCGCGTGGCCGACTCTCTAGCAGACCAGCGGGCAGAGGAGGCACAACTCCCAGCACACCTGTGTATGGACGTGCTGGAGCTGGAAGCCAAAGCTAAGCCAGTTCTGCTCCGCGCGGCTTCCATTACGATTGAAATATCGTCCCGGCCGAAAGATAGCTCGCGTGTTGTCGCTAAGAGCCCAATCGATCGTACGGAGAGAGCCAACCAGCGCAGGACAGCGCTCGTCCGCTCCTCGCTGCACCAGTTTTTACTTGCACCACCCAAGTCTTGGCGGTGCTCGGAGTGTGGCCTCCATGCTCGTGAAAGATCCAGGGACTTTCGGAACCCGGTCTTGTCTGCCTGTCCGGCCCCAGCCCCCAGGCCTCCCGTCTCGCTCCCTAGGGTTGTTCCGTCCCTGGAGCCTGTGGCCCCCGTGGATGAGTGGCTTTGGCGTCGTTTGGGTGTGGAGGACCCCCACAGCGTGTTGCTCACCATGCCTATGTTAATGGGCAGCAGTTGCACTCCAGCCATGAGCTGTGGTTTAAAGGTCGATTTACTTTTTGTGGGTTTTGTGGAGCCTGGGCCAATCAGAGACGAGTCAATCTTTTGGGTGGTTGCACTGTGGCCCTTGAAGGCCCCCACAAGATCACCCCCAAGCAGCTGCAGGCTCTCCTGCGTATTCGCAAAGGGAAGCCTCCTCAGCAGTCTGCGTCCGAATGGGGCACTGCGGAGGGACTTGACCTCTAGATTTTTCTACCACCAAGTTTTAACCTGTCTGTCAGAGTTTGGCTCGGTGTAGCACACAGTGGAAAATCCAACATCCAGCAACAGACTTTCCAGTTCCACCTCCGACTGTCGACCTCCAGCCTCCACCAGCTCAGCATTCTGACCTCTATCATCCAGCACCCGACCTTTTCTTCCACATCCACCCACTGACCTCCAGCTACCAGCTCCACATTGCGACCCCCGCCAACGCCAACACCATTCCCAGTACACCTCGTGTGCTATTTCGACGGCGCCACTGCTTCGCCTACTTGCAGTGCCCGCACTGGGCCCCGTCTGCGCCCGTGGGTGCCCGGGCGCCAAGGCCCGGCAGCTGCCATGGTCCCCGCCGGCGGGGCTGGCCGCGCCAGCGTACTCAGGCGCAGATTCGTCCGCCCTTGAATGGCCTTCCCCCCCCCCACCCCCCCCGCGGCCGCCCGCTACTGCCTTGTCCAATTCTTGCACGCGGCCAATTCGCTTTTCGGTGCCCCAGTCTAGCTCCTTCGCTGATGCAGCCACCTCTGCCTCGCCGCCGACGGATAAAGTGCGTGTCTCGTATTTCTACTGATTCAGGCTCGTCGCTGCGCGCCAGGCCGCTTCCGCCCAAAAGTGTGAGTGCGTTGTTTGGCCCGCGCGCGCCTCTCGCTCTACCTGCTTTACTCCGCGCCGCTACGCGCATGGCTGCGACGCCGAACGTTGTGTGTGTGTGTGTGTGTGTGTGTGTGTTTATGTGCCTGCACTGGCAGGAAGATCAAGATGGAGACAAAGAAGGACGTGTATGGAGAGCGGAGCACTTTCAGCGGCTCCTACAACCAGCTGCGGGCGTTCGAGGTGCAGTGGATGCCCAAGAAGGGCATGTGGCTCCTGGTTGACAAGGAGAGGCAGATCTGGTTCATGCAGACCACCAACGAGCAACAGGTCGGTCAAAATCCGGACACCGCGGCCATTCAGGTCAAAACTGTGTTCTCAATCAAGAGCTACGGTTCCAACGCTTCCAATAATGTGAACGACTGGATCGATGAGGCGTTTACTTTTTTCAAGGAGCAGAAGAAGAGCGAACAGGATACCTCTCGCTTCTTTTACGTCGCCTTGAGCCCAGAAGCTGGCGACAAGTCCCAGGCTGGTGCGGCGAAGATTCTGTTTAAACAGTACCTTCTCTCTGATGGCAAAACTTTCAACTCATTGTTTTTTCCAGAGAAGGAGGCGCTCCTTAGACTCATTGACCAGTTCCAGAGAAAGGAGGGCAAGTTCGCGATAAGAGGCTTTCCAGACAAGCTTGGCCTTCTGTTGGATGGGCCGCCAGGTACAGGCAAGACGTCGCTGATTAAGGCCCTCGCGCACTATACCAACAGGCACGTCGTTTCTGTGAATTTGGCCAAGATAAAAACGAACCAGGAGCTCATGGACCTCCTGTTCGACTTGGTCTTCCCCGTGCAAGGGGGGGACCTACCAGTGAAGATGAAGTTCGAAGACATCATCTTTGTCATGGAGGACGTGGACGCCGCGAGCAAGGTCGTGTACGCCCGAGGCAAGAAGGGAACTAAGAGAAAAGCAAAGAACAAGAGCAAGGCATCGGGAGAGCAATCGCAGTGATACACCACTAGGCGTCCACAGTCACACGCTTTGGGCCAGATCTTGGCGTAAGTGGCCTCCCGGCGGAGCCAACACACGCCGAGGCTCGGCCCAAGATGGGCTTGTGGAGGCTCGTCAGTGGGTGCACATTCTACCCTTCCCTGAGGCAGCAGGCGTGCAGGTCGCCGCCAAGGGCGGGTCCAAGGATCGGCGGGCACCAGATACAGGCACGCACCTGCACGAATCCCGGCTGGGCCCAGGGTCGGTGTGTAGTCGTATGTGAGCCCTCCTTGTCCAATCCAGGAGGGCGTACACACCAATCCTGGGCTCAGGGTGTCCAGGCCTCCCTGATTGGGTCTGAGTAGATTGGGTCGGAGGATCGTGCTGCATCGCCGAGTGTGGAGCCCGAACTTCTCAACGCGGACGTCGCCGATGCATCGGCGGCGCATCGGCGACGTGGCGATCCTTCGACCCCATCTGCTCGGATCCCATTTGGGAGGCCTTTGGGGCGGGCCTGGCCAGGGCTGGTGCAGGAGCATGTCTGGCGCCTTCGTGGAAGGACCCCCCGCCCACGCCGTCCAAGGCCGCGCCTCCAGCGATGCCCACGCTGCTGCGGATGATCAGCGGCAACGACAAGGGCGAGAGCGAGGAGCCCCAGAAGGGCGACGGCAAGGAGCCCCCGCGGCCCTCTCCACCGCGGCTGGCAGCGACGGGCGGCGACGGCGGCGACGGCGGCGACAGCGCCAACCACGGCGGGTGCCGACGGCGCCGACGGCGCCGACGGCGGCGGCGGCGACAGTGGCTGCGGCGACGGCCCCCGACGTGGGTCTCGACCACGCGGCGGCGCGCCTTTCGGCACGGCCCCGGGAGGCCGTCTCTGGGCCCCACGGGCCCGTCGAGCAGAGGCTTGGGGTGAGAGGAGTCAACTCCGGGGGAAGGGGTCGAGGGCTCTGAGGCCCCACCCAAGTCTCGAGAGTCTGTTCGGAGGTTGATGCAGACCCCACCCTGCCAAATCGATCGGTTACCTGTCCTGTCCTCGGTCTTCGACCAGTTCCAACGCTACTTGATCGGACGTGTCCGCGCCAGGGCTGGAACATATGCGCTCGCCATCATTAGCGCGCATCACATGCATGTTCACTTTGCTTAGCGGGTATACCACACCATGGAACAAACTTGCGTTTACAATATCCGCATCAAGCGATCCATAGAGTTAGGCGAAGGAAGCAAGGATCATGCTCGGTCGTCAGGTCATGTCGATCCTCAGACGAAAACTCGAGCTCCCCGCGCGACCTACCCCCCGCGCTCGCTGAACATTCTGGGGAGCTCTAGGTCGCTGCGGGTGGAACCCCGCGATCGATCCCTGTAGCTTCTGCCAGGGCATCGGCGCGCTCGGACAGATGCTGCGCCTCCCTTTTTTCAGACCCTCTCTCTCTGTCTCTCTGTCTCTCTCCCTCTCTCCCTTTCCGCCTCCCTTCTGATCCTCTGTTCCCTACCCTCCCCCGCCCTCCCTCCCCCCCCCTTCTGCCCGCTCCCTCACTTCCCCTCCTCCCGCTTCTGCCCCCCCCCCCCCTCCGCGCGCCCCCGCCTTCCCTGTGAGCCTCCTGGCCCCTTTCCACTCCGCCCAAAAAAGCTACGCAACACGAGCACTGCTCTCCTCCTCTCCCCTGATGTTTGCTGTCCAGTGGTGCCGCCGCCTCTCTCGCGCGTTTCTTCTCACACATGTTTGAATGTATTTTGTTTTGCCCCCCCACCTGATTTGAAATTTCGATCGGACTGTTCTTGGCTGTTTCACGGTGTTCCCGCAGCAGCGCCGGACGCAAGTCAGGGTCAACTCCTCCCGTCGTTCAGAGTGGCGCCCTCGCCGTAGCGTGGCCACGCTTCTTCATCCGAATCCTTGTTAGTCGTTAGTCGTTATTTTTCCGCTCCTCCGCATTCCCTGGTCCTCCTGGTCCTCCCGCTCCTCCTACTCCTGCTCCTGCTGCTGGTCCTCCTCCTCCTCCTCTTCCATTTCCTTCCTCATGCTTCTCTTCCTGCCCATCCTGCTGCTCATGCATCTCCTCCTCCTCCTCCTCTTCCAATGTACACGAAAGCAAGGTGGGCGTTCGATGTCCAATGAAACCACCAAACTGCCACCTCGTTGTGCGACTCCCTTCCCATCATCCAGTGTACACAGCTCATCTTGTCTGACAGCGCTTCACACGATGGGGTCGGGCAGAGAACAAATCCGCGAAACGGGAAGGGACGGCCCCTCCAACTCCCCCTCCACAGACGTCCGGCGTCGTACTTTTTCCCAAGCGTGACCCCCCTTCCTGGGGACTCGCTTTTCTCCAGCCACGGGCCGTTCTCTGACGGCCCCGGGTCCCAGAAAGGGCCCGGGCTGGCCGCAACGCAACGCAACTCCCGATCGGCCCAGGGCTGGTCCTGATACAGAGCACGGGGATAAACATGAACGGCGACGGTAGCTTTGGGAATGCCACCGGAAAAACACCTCAGAAAGCATCATAACATCTGCGTCTGTTGATCGCCTGGGCCGAACACGCCGGCCTTAGCCACGCCGTGGTGGCCGAGCGTCGTAAAATCCTTCTGCCGTGACGTCGCAGCGGGGCATCGGGCCCCGAGAGACTGGGCATGGGGGGAGGGTTGGCCGTGGCGCCTCCGCGGTGCCCAGGCGGTCGGGGCTCCCCGCGTCCCGTCCTTGTTCCCGCCCTGGTCCGTGACCTCGTCCCGTCTGCGTCCCCCCCCCCCTTCCACTCTCTCCTCCCTCCCCACCTCCTCCCTCCTCCCTCCTACTGCTGCCCTCCTCCTTCCTCCCTCTCCCTCCTTCTCCCTTGGCCCCCTCCCTGCCGCCTCTCTCCTCCCTCTTCCTCCCTCCTCCTCCTCCTCCTCCTCCTCCTCCTCCTCCTCCTCCTCCTCCTCCTCCTCCTCCTCCTCCTCCCCCTCCCCCTCCCCCTCCCTCCTCCCTCCTCCTCCCTCCTCCCTCCCTCCTCTCTTGCTTCCCCCTGCCGCCAGCCGCAGGAGGCCGAGGAGGGGGGCGAGGAGAACGGCGAGGAGGGCGAGGGCGAGGACGGGGACGAGGAGGGCGAGGAGGACGGCGAAGCCGCGGCGGAGAAGGTCAAGGGAGAGGCGCCGCCCCGGCTTTTTTGGCGGAGCCCACGAGGGGGTTGGCGCGACGGGGGGGCCTTCCCGTACCTCCAACGCATCGAAAGACAATTAGCCAGGCAAGGGACCCAACCATCTGCAATTGCGAGTGCCGTCGTTATGAGTATCGCCTCCAGTGGACCTCCCTATGAGGCCACGACATGCTTGAGGGAGGTGCCGAAATTTATGGGGCTGTCGCTTTCGAGCATGGCCACTGGGGCCTTTCGTAGCGGTGCCTATGGGGCGACAAAGCGCGTGAGGGGTGTGCCGAAAGGGGTGGGGCGGACGCATGCGAACATGGCCACGGGGGCCTTCGGTGAAGCTCCCTATGGGGCCACGAAAAGTGTGAAGTGCGTGCCGAAAAGGGCGGGGGAACGCATCCGGACTGTGCCACTGGAGCCTTCGGTGGAGCTCCGTGTGGGGCGACGAAACGCGCGAGGGGTGTGCCGAAATGGGTGCGGGACCGCATGCGGGCTGCGCCCTTGGGGCATTCGGTGGAGCTCCGTGTGGGGCCACGAAACGTGCCAGGGGTGTGCTGACATGAATGGGGCGGGCGCGTGCGGACTGCGTCATTGAGACCTTCGGTGGATTTCCCTATGAGGCCACGCGAAACGTGTGAGATGTGTGTGTGTGTGTGTGTGTGTGCCGAAATGGGTGCGGCGGACGCATGCGAACATTGCCACTGGGGCCGTCGGTGGAGCTCCCTGTGGGGCCACGAAGTGCGTGAGGGGTGCGTCGAAATGGGTGCGGGACCGCACGCGGGATGCGCCACTGGGATCTTCAGTGGATCCCCCTAGGAGGCTACGAAAAATAGTTGCGGGACCGCATCCGGACTGCGTTACTGGAGCCTTCGGTGGAGTTCGTGTGGGGCCACGAAACGTGTGAACCGAAAAGCGTGCGGGACCGCATGCGGGCTGCGCCACTGGAACCTTCGGTGGAGCTCCGTGTGGGGCCACGAAACTGGTGAGGGCAGTGCCGAAATTGGTGCGGGACCGCGGGCTGCGTCATTGGGACCTTTGGTGAAGCTTCTTGTGGGGTCACGAAACGTCTGAGGTGTGTGTTTGTGTGAGTGTGTGTATACGGAAATGGGTGCGGGACCGCATCCGAACTACGCCAGTGGAACTCTCGGTGGAGCTCCCTGTGGGGCCACGAAACGTGAGAGGGGTGTACCGAACTGGTAGACTGATGCGGAGAGCAGAAGTCAGGAGGTGGAGGAGGGCAGAGAAGGACGGAGAAGGAAGACGTGGGGTGCTGTCTCTTGGAAACGAGGACCCGACACCACAGGATTGTTGGGCATGGTACTCATCGGCCGTTGAAAGTGGGTATGGCCGGGTTCCCTGATTCCAGTCAACCTTAGGCGCCCTCTTACTCCAAGGCCAAGCGTCAAGCGGTTTTCCCTTTTCTCTCCTCTTCGGGGGCGGGTGGAGTCTCAGTCTACTTTCAAGGCCTTCCTGCTTCTCAGTTTCTGCCCGCTCCTTCTGACCGATGGTCCAGCGTCCACCGGCCTCTCTCATAGTATCTTCGGCCTCCGGGGGCCCCCGCCGTGCCCCTGGACCGTCAGAAAATGACTCGAGGTGAACAAACAGCTGCCCTGGTTTTGTGGAGGACGATCAATGGGGAGGAAGCCCGTTGCCAAATGATTTCCTGATGTCTAAAACATGTGTTAAACATGTAAAACACATGTTTTAAAACATGTTTAGAACATTTTCCGACATTTTAACCACACTTTACATTCAATGATAGGACTGTTAGGGTGTCCATTGTCGTGGCATCCGCAACCCTGGTTAAAAGGGCCCTGGGATCCCGACTCGAAAAACCATCATGACATCGGATCTTTGGGTCGGGAGCCTTGAGACTGGGTTCAATGCAGACGGGGGTCAGCCAGGGCGCCCGATCTTGCAGGATCCTGCAGGGCCAGGGTCGCATTGACCAGGGTCTGGGTGCAGGATCCTGGATTGACCCGGGTCAGAAGATGCCCGACGGCAAAAGCCAGAGCTGTGCGGGTGCGCTCGCGAGCCACGGGAGGAGGATAAGGCCAGGCGAGAGCGGATGCTCTCCCCCAACCCTGCCCTGCCAGGCCGGACGTCTGCGGGCACGACGGCAACGCTTGCCCCCGAGCGTGTAATCGCGCACTCCTTCGCGAATCTCGTGGCTCCCTCTGGAACCCCTCCTCGCTCGCTACCCCACGACATCTGGTTCCGAAGGTGCCGCCGATCCCGAGAAAGAAACAGCACGGCGACGAGACACCCCGAAGTCTCGCCAGCGGAAAAGCCCAGGGCCCACGAGCCCCCCGAAGGGGGGGGGGCACTCGGAGGAGGAGGAGGAGGAGGAGGGAGGAGGAGGGAGGAGGAGGCGGAGGAGGAGGAGGAGGAGGAGGAGGAGGAGGAGGAGGAGGAGGGAGGAGGAGGAGGAGGAGGAGGAGGAGGAGGGAGGAGGAGGAGGAGGTCCCGTGTACACCAAGACGCATCAACGACAGTACAATCAAACGCCGCGAATTAACGTGAATCTTGCGTCCATACAACCGAAATCTTGCCTGAACGCAGTTCCTGGGACTTCAACCCTACGAATCCTTGAAAGTGTTGTAAAGTTTGTAAGACGAGTGCGCGCGGCACCTGGGTGAGAGCCACATTTTGAGAAAGAGCCGCCCTCCATCCTTGAAGCTGTTTCAAGCTTCTAACGCGGATGTGCGCGACGTTCCGGCGAGAGCCACATTTTGAAGACCACCCGCTCTCCATTTTTTGAAATTGCTGCGAAATTTAACGCGAATGTGCGCGGCGCTAAGGCGAGAGCCGCATTTCGAAGAGGACCTGCCGTCCATCCCTGAAGCTGTTGCAAACTTTCAATGCGAATGTGCGCGGCGCTACGGCGAGAGCCACATTTTGAAAAGAACCCGCCCTCCATTCTTGAAACTGTTGCGCATGTCAAGCTTCAGGATCATAAGTTCCGAGGAAGTCCTACCGACACGTCTGGGGGTGCGCCAGGGAGGAGTTTTGGTAAGGGAAAGGGATGTATGATGAGGAGCAGGTGGATAATAATGATGCGAATAATAATGATGATGATGACGAGGAGGAGCAGGGGGAGGAGGAACATGAGGAATGATGATGATGCTGATGCTGATGATCATGATGCTGATGCTGATGCTGATGCTGATGCTGATGCTGATGCTGCTGCTGCTGCTAATGGTGATGATGATGGTGGTAGTGGTGGTGAGGGTACCGATAAAGATAATAATAATGATGCTGATGATGATGATGATGGTGATGGTGATGGTGATGATGACGATGATGATGATGCTGCCAATGATGATAATGTTGATGGTGGTGATGATGATGATGCTGATGATGCTGATGCTGATGCTGCTGCTGATGATGATGCTGATGCTGATGATGATTATGAAGACAACGATGATGACGATGATGATGAGGATGCTGATTATGATGATGATACTGATGCTGATGATTATGATGATGACGATGGTGGTGCTGATTAGGAATGATGATTATGATGATGCTGATGATGCTGCTGCTGATGATGCTGCTGATGATGATGTTGATGGTGGTGATGATGCTGATGATGATGCTGATGCTGATGCTGCTGCGGATGATGCTGATGATGCTGATGATGATGATGCAGATGATGATGATGATGATGATGGTGATGATGATGATGATGATGATGATGATGATGCTGATGATGCTGATGATGATGATGATAATTATGATGATGATGATGATGATGATGATGATGATGATGATGATGATGATGATGATGATGATGATGATGATGATGATGATGATGATGAGGAGGAGGGAGGAGGAGGAGGAGGAGGAGGAGGAGGAGGAGGAGGAGGAGGAGGAGGATATGATGGTGGTGGTGCGGGGTGGTGGTTGGTGCGGAGGAGGAGGAGGAGGATGATGATGGATGATGATGGTTTTGGTGGTGGTGGTGGTGGGGTGATGGTGTGTGGTGGTGTTGATGATTATGATGATGAGGATGATGATGATGATGATGGATGATGATGATGATGATTGATGTGATGATGATGATGATGTCGATGATGATGATGATGAGATGTGATGATGATGATGATGATGAGATGATGATGATGATGATGATGATGATGATGATGATGATGATGATGATGATGATGCTGATGTGATGATGATGATGATGATGATGAGATGATGGTGATGTGATGGTGATGATGATGGTGATTGGTATGGTGATGGTGATGGTGGTGGTGGTGGTGGTGTGGGAGGAGGAGGTAGGAGGAGGAGGAGGAGGAGGAGGAGGAGGAGGAGGAGGAGGAGGAGGAGGAGGAGGAGGAGGAGGAGGAGGAGGAGGAGGAGGAGAGAGGAGAAGAGCCCGCAGGGGTTGATCTTGGGCCTGGGCCGAGAGCGCCCTCTAGGAGGGCCATCCAGACGGCGAGAGGCCGAGGAGCCACCCACCTGTGGGCCCCTTGCCCGCGCGGTGGCGCAAGTGGCTCGTGGCGTGCAGAACTCCGCGGACGACTTGTGTGCACCGTACAGTGTTGGCGCCTCCCGAGGCGTCGTCGATTCTCGACCTAGGAATGGTGCGGTGAATCGTTTTTCGGCCCTGGGAGCCGAACAAGCATGCACCGTACCACTTTGGGGCGGGGCCCAGAGGAGTCCAAACATGGTACGGAGCACGGGCGCTGTTCTCGCAGGCACGGGACAGCGCCTCGACCCGCTCGATGCTTTGAGGGATTCGCGAGATCCGAGCGGACCCCGGTTATCGAGGCCGCCCGCGCGCCCCTCCTTCGCCGGTTCTCGGCCCTCGGGCCTCCGCCCTTTTATCATGGCGCCAGCATCGCAGAGCGGATTTCGTTCGGAAAACGATGGGATGGGCCCAGAGCGTCCCAGAGAATGTCGTTCCAGATTTCGAGGCGAATTTCGTGCGGGTTCTTTCTGGCCAGGAATGAAGACGCAACAATGCACGCGAAATTCACTTCGTTTTTCGCTCGCC